GTCCCAGCCACAGAAGCTATGGATGATAACAGTAGTGAAGCAGCTGGAGTTGCATCACACGCTCCAAACTACAGACACGTGATGATAGACCATCAGGGAAGGGTCTAGGGGGGGTTTCCTAGTTGGGAGAGTTGGGGGGGTCGAGCAAAAAAAACTGCATTTTTTTTGCTCCACCCCTCAGAGGCCCCTCTTTTCCTTCATAGTAAGAGGTCCTTGTTCCTTGCCTACATTGTATGGCACATAATCTTTTCTTTGTTGATTCGCAATTTTTTCAATAGCTAACACAAATAAATATAGGAAAAGTAAAAAAGTCTATATATAAAAAAGTTATTTTATTAAAAGCAATAGCAAATAGCTTTTTAGAAACACTGAAAAACGCACCCCACAGCGTGCCTTTCTGAAAAAACTACAGTCACCGCCAAATGGAATGTTGTTGCGCCAACGGCAAAGAGATAGAATATATCGCGATCACAGGGGGCAATAAAGAGATGGAATAATCAAGGCCAACAACCAGTCAGGAGATGGAGTATTGAGAACGAACCACGTGGCTTTCGGAGCCTACGCCGGTCAATTGTGCCCACGCAGAAAAACCCGCAGCCCCAAACACCCCAAAAAACTCGTGGCTTTTCGCACGTGTTCCATCCAGTCAGACTCTTTTTTTGCAACTATAGTTTTCGCTAGACGCACAGGTGCCAGAGGGCACCAACAAACACACGAAATGCCGATTACACCACGCGGCTTCAAACAAATGTTAAAAACTGTGATGCGGCGAGGCATTGGAACCTCGCAGGCCACTGGGGAGAGCGTGGACGGATCGACCCAGCGCAGGGACGCGCGAGGATGATCTATCGGAGGCACCTGGAAGCTCGCAGGCCACGGGGGAGAGCGTGGACAAAGGAATGTTTGTTGAAATTTGTCGATGTGATGATGGATGTGAAGTCATCTTTAAAGCCAGTGGTGCCAGATATGCTGCCCGAGTAGCCTTGCATTATTAGCACTGTATGCTTCTGCTTGCTCTCCTTTCCTTTCTTTCCCAAGGAACAAGGAAGAGAAAGGGGAAGGAAGAGAACGAGGAAGAGAAAGAGACAGAGGAAGAGGAAGAGCAAGAAACAGAGCAAGAGAGAGAGAGAGAGAGAGAAAGAAAAGAAGAAAGATAGAGAGGAAGAGAAAGTGAAAGGGATAGAGAGAGAGAGAGAGAGAAAGAGAGAAAGAGAGAAAGAGAGAAAAAGAGAAAGAGAGAAAGAGCCAGAGCAAGAGCAAGCGGACGGGGGAGAAAGACCAAGAGGAAGAGAAAGACAGAGAGGGAGAGAAAGAGAAAAAGGAAGAGAACGAGGAAGCAGCAAAGGAAAAGGAAGAGGACAAGGACCTGCACCTGCCCTGCTTACGCCTGCGCCTGCACCTGCCCTGCTTGCTTACCACCCGGCCCAATGTAAAGCATTCTCTGGGAAGGTAAAAACTAACTTTTTTTTGCAAGCCGTTTTTTTGGCAAATGCAACCTATTCTACTTTTAGGGAATTTGCTATGAGTAAAGCCAGGCCCACAGGATGACGAAATCCAAAGGTTAACTGACAAGCGACTCATGCAAGTGCATGTTTCCAGTCCGTGAGCGAGACCAGTGAATCGCTCTCGTGTAGGTAAGCAAGAAAAACCAAAAAGAACGTAAAGCATCCTGTTGTAGTATAGGCAGGCAAGACAAAGGATGAAAACCTCCACTTATAGTGAGTGAGACGAAGGAATCGCTCATAGCGGCAGTGAAAAGGGAAAAGAACCGACAAGAAGTCTGCCGACGAACACTGCCTCCAGTTTACGAGCGAGACTCAAGGCATAAGAATCGCTCTATATATAATGTAAGAAAGCAGGTGCATTCCATGGCCAGTGGATGCTTCCCTCTCTAATGCGTAGCTTCATTGGACAGCATAGCAACAGAGAGCTCTGTCCCCCTGCATTAGGTTTACATAGATTTATATACTGCAAATTAAATGAAAAAGCCACAAGGCTTCCTCTGATTCCGAGGATGATGCACACACACACACTCACACACACACACTTGAAAACCTGCACTCTCACAATGCGAAGTCTTTATGTCTCAATCGAACATGAGGTGCTGGAAGTTTGGAACGCCTGGGCAATGATGATGTTTGCTACATTTCCCCCTCACATGTCAAGGAGCCCTGTCTAAAGTTGGTTGCAGGACGTTTTACGGGAGTCTACACGCAAATGAGAGGAAGTGCAGCTGTCACAATCTTCATCTGCCCAATGTGAACGAGTCTCGTGAGAAGTCCGGTGGAGCGAGCCAAGTCAATCAAGGCTGCAACGGTTGGTAAAGCCAAGAGGGCCGAGGAATAGGTAGACAAAAGTGCTAGGGAAGCTACACGGTTTGGCACTGCGATGGCCAGCTCCTGCGCAATCATTCCACCCATACTGATGCCAATAATGTGCACTTTCGTCCAGCCAAGATCATCAAGCACAGCCAAGGCATCTTCCGCCATTCGCTTGGTGGTGTACCTTATTTGGCCTGAAGGATGCCCAGAGTACCCGGTACCGCGGTTGTCCACAGCGCAAACTTGACAAAATGTTTGCAGGTACTCAAATTGAAACTTCCACAAACCATGTGTACCACCTAAGCCCATCAGCAACAGGACTCGAGGTCGGTCATTGAGGTCTTCAGCATGCTCCGGCAACCTCTGATAGTAAATTTGATAGTCGCCATTCGCAGACTGAATATTCACATGAGGCATGGGTGCAGCAAACGCACTTTGGATAAGTATGTGTGGTTGCGCTGCTTGAAGATCTCATGCATGCATCTCTGTGCGTGTGTGTGTGTGTGTGTGTGTTCGCCTTGTGCTTCGAATTGTGTTACGGACTGCTCAAGCACTCACAGCTGCCTTGAACAAGCGCAGCCCAAGATTCGACTGTACTTGCAAGCAGTGAAATCAGTCATTGACTCCGTCGTCTGTTGTCAGCGCAACTGTCTCCAAAACCAGAGTCTTTGATCAACAAAATTATACTCACTTATTCTTCAAGCAATGCCTGCGTAGAAGTACATGCATTGCGCAAAAGCTGTGGCGTGAAACCTCTTTGCAGGGGCATTGCTGTTTCTGCTAGTGAGTCGGATGGCGGGGCCCATAGAATTAATATTTTACTGTTTAGTCCCGAACAGGCTGTTCAAGCTACCCCTGTGCTTCGCAAAGCAAACTCAAGGTAGCCCTTGCCAGGCTACCTTTCGTGAGTTGGGCACTCCAAGCTGGGCGAGAACTTCGAGGGCATTCAGTCCCACAATCAAAGGCTTCCAATGGTCTGTGTAAAAGCGTGCCTGCTGTGCTTAAGTGTTGGAGGTCGGGCAGCCGAGCACCAGCAGTGAGGAAGCTTTGAAGAGAAACTTCCGAGTTGCATTATTTATTTTTATATAGCTGAGTGACCAAAAACGCTACCACAAAGCATTACTCAGCTAGCTCATCTAAGTCTTAAAGTAAACGTCTCACTGCTTGATATCGTTTCGTCTTCGAGCTGGGCTGGTCACAAGTGATTTATTTGGCAGCCACTGAGCAACGCAGAGTCTACTCGCAGGGCTGTGAGGTTGGCGTTCAGGGAACTTGCCCTTCCTCAAATGAAGTTAGTGCTCGAAATACCAGGCCGGCTGCCCAAAAGCTGCGGTCATAGGTGATTCCTGTGCTTCGCGCCAGTACAAGTCCACATCGGATGCAACTGACGAAGTGCGCATTGGCAGCTGGCAGAGCTAGACACAAACAAACGAGCAAAGATTTTGAGAGACAAGAATAGGAACATAGATGTAAACAAGTAGGAAGTGACGGAGACATACGGAGAGTAGAACGGGCAAGTAGAGGCCGCTAGAAACAAGTCAAAAGCAAAGAAGCACAAACAACTTCACAGTCAAGGTGTCGGAGATGTCCAGAAGAAAAATCATAGGCTGCCGGTATCTGCTGGTGGCTTTATGGTGGCGTGTGACTTGGAGCTAGCAAAGCGATGTGACGCTGAATGTTCGCTTAAATGTTTTGTCTCTTCACTCTGTAGGCGATATCTCTGCAGTGATTCGGCTGCTGTGACAAGTGATGTGGTGATTGACAGATGATGTGTCCCGTTGCAGAACCTTCTAGGCAACCTGGCTGAACCCAGCAACTCAGGTCAACTGCGCTACTGTATTGCACCAGTAAACGCAGCATCTCAAGCCATCAGCCTCAATCATGTGTTATCTGCGCATTTTTGATGCATTTTTGCCACCTGCTCCCAGATCAGTCTCAAGAAACTAATGATTTGGACTGCTTCACTTTGTGCTTTCCACGGCCGCCCTTGGTGTTGTGGATGAGCTCCTCTAACTTTCGCTTCTTTCCCTCAGCTCTGCGCCGATTCTTTGCTCGGCGACTTGCCGCAGCTGCTTCGGGGTTGGTGACTGGTTGCAAGCGTCGTTTCTGAACACGTTCTTGCCTTGCAGATTTTGCCGGAGTGATCTGGATTGTCACATCTACAAACACAAAGCAAGCAAACAAACCTCACATGCATTGACTATTTGTTGGACGTGTTCATTTCCACATGCATACGGCTTCCTTTTTTTGCTTTGTCTTTTTAAACCTGCCTCCGCTTCTCCACGACCTTCCGAACTTGATTCAGCGTCGAAGTGAACTCCGAGGCTTTCCCAGCTGACGTCATCTTGTCACTCACTTGATCCAGGAAACTTTGAGCCAAATTCGCAAGGAAGCCTCTCTGCTGCGCAGGGCGAAGTGCCAAAGCCTGCTCCAAGGAGACAATGTCTGGCAAAGCCATGCACTTAAATGCTGTAGTGCAGCGATATGCAGGACTCAAAAGTGGGCGGAGCAATTGTGAGAGAACCTGTGCAGGGTCGCCTCAAGCTCTCTGAATACAAGCCCTTAGCCTAAGCATGCCAAGTCCCGTAAAGGGTGATGAACATATGTGATTACATGAAGATGTTGGAAAACAACACTGGCACCAAGCTCCAACCTGTGCCGGAAATTGATCTTCCAAAGCAGTGCAAAGCCGAAACCAAGAAATCAATCGAACAAAGTGCTCTGTAGGATTGGCCTGGAAGCCCTGGGACTGATGCGACCAGCGCACCAGCAACCACCTCATTCGACTGCGCCTCAAGCGGTCTTGGACATCACCGTCTTCCATCTCAAGCGGTGTGGTTTCAACATCTGGCTTTGGGAGATTTGCGGCCACAGCTTCATCATACAAAGAACCCTGGCGCCCTCCATCAGGTTCTGCCAGAGCTTCCTCCGGTTGAGGTGCTTCCAAGCCATCCTCAAGAGTAATCTTCTCAGGTTGGCTTTTCTTTTCATCACCCTCAAGCTCTTCATCACTTCCACCGGCGTGCTCCTCTTCCATCTTCTCATCAACTTCTTCCACCCCTTTCTGCGTAGCGCTTTCCAGCTTTTGCTCATTTGGCCCACTCCCCTTTCTGCCGTCATCCGCAGGCGGAAGCATGCTCTCTTCACCAAGCTGCTCCTTGGCTTCATGCTCATCAGCTGGCAAATCAGACTCATCTTCTTCGTCCATGCCGTCAGCTTGCACAAGGTCTGGCTGCTGCAAAAGAAGCAGCAAAAAATTGCGCAATGCCTTGACAGCAAGTGGGGCAAGGGATGTGTCAACCTCAACTCTCCTTGATGTCACCAGCACCTCCAAAGCTCCCAGCAAACCTTAGCATCTTCAATGTAGGAGATCCAATTGATTTATAAAGAAGGACATGGGCAACTTTGCACAAAACAACCGTTTCAGCTGAATGCAATGATGGCAGCGGTAGGCAGATACATCGCCTTGAAACCATAAGCTCGCCGGACTCTTCAGCCATTTGGCGCTCTGGTCCTCCAAACAACGCAGCGCGACGGCTATAATCCAGGCATGCCTTGTCTCAGCAAAAGCATCTGAGCCAAGCAAATAGTGCCAAAGGTATTTCATGGAGGAAGCGGCATCTCCTTCGGGTCGTGTTGCAAACTTATTCTGAAAACAGCCCGTGCGCCTCCGATGACTAAAACTGTGACAAGCATGCTAGCCTAAGCCAGGTCTCCTTCCAGCAAGGGGTTTAAGACCAAGTGAGGTACGGATGCAAGAATACGCTCAAAGCTCTTGCAAATCGCATAGGATACCTGCCACGGAGCATCTGCTGAAATGGCTTCCTGCAAAAGCTTCACCAAGGCCGACAGCATTAGAGCCAGGGTTGATTCTGAAGCCTCACCAGCTTCCACGAAGAGGCCTAAGCATTCCGCAAGCACACTTGGAGCGGCTGTCCATTTCAGAACCAGGTCCAAAAGCCTTTGACGGCTGGGCGCATTGATCTTGCGCAGCAAAGTCAGGATCAGAACCTCAGCTGACCAACAGGAAGGCTACAAATAAAGCATCAATCCTTCCTCAAACTCAACAGAAACAAGCCTCATGCAGCAACAACGAAACATAGAACCTCCTGCACCTGCACAAATCAAGGTGCATGAATCATCTGATGCGATGTAGCATCAGCCTCGGACGATAATCTGGCAGCTGCAGCAGTGAAAATCAAGCTACCCCAAGTTGTCGAGAGCTGGCTTTCGGGAAAGTGCAGGACCACGAGGTAAAGGCAATTCAAGGCTGCACGCCTGCCCCCGTCCTCTTGGTAGCCAAGGTTTTTCAACAAATGGTTCATGCGTTGCTGAAGGGCTTTGTGCTCATGAGGGTAGTCGAGCATGAAGTCTACAAAGATCTGGGCACACTGCTGAGAGGTCCTTTTGTCTGAACCTGTGATCATGATTCCGCCCACTGTGTCGATGCATTGGTACACTGCAGAGGTGAGAACCCTGTTTCTCAGCAGGACTCTGCGTAGCAGCTGCAAGGCTGCTGATTGGAGAGATGGTGTATCAAGCGCGTTTTGGATATGCGACACCAACGCATCAAAGACAGTACTCTTCTGCAAGGCTTCTCGCACGCCCTCCTTCTTTTCTCTTGGCTTGGCTTGTCGCTTGTCCGTTTTGGGCATTTCCTTCTTGGCCAATGACGGCGCCTCCTCGCCACCAAAGCTTTGAAACCATTCTGCAGAGTCTCGATTGTTGAGGAGGGCCGAGAGCAAACGGGTACTTGTTGCCAGCATCGCATCGGCACCACTTGCTAAGCCGTGCATCTTGGCTTTTGCTCTGAGGTGCTGCGACAGTCTTGGAGCACCAGCCGTAATCTCAAACGTTTTCAAGACAGTTCGAGCTATGGAAACGCCATGGCGGCCAAGAACTTCTGGTTGGCCATCGAAGTAGCCACGAAGCAATCCCAAGCATTTTGCAGATGCAACAAAAAGCCGATCTTGCCGTGAACAAAAGCCTCGACATGATCAACCCGTGGAATAATTGAACTTTCTGGAAAATACATCATAATACATCCAACTCAATCCGGTGCAAGATGGTAGAACCTCTACCATACAACATCCAATTTTGTTGCCCTCAAAGTCTGAGTGCTACACCAAAGCCAAGGAACAAGAAACCACTGCCGGCACGACATCTTCCAAACCTTTGGCCTCTTTGTTGGCTTCCAGTCCTGTCTTGGTGCCTTGCAAAATGTGCCGCAGCAATCGGAGTCCCAGCACACCCAGTGCACCAGCGCGTGCGTGGTCGTCAACACCTTGCTGGGATGCTTGACCTCCAGATTTTCCGCTGGCGGCACCCTCTTGGACCCGGAAAGCACTCCTGACAAAGTCACAAGACTTTGCGTATCAGAAAGTGGAGTTACCCCAAAAAACATCCTGAGGGGTCCTTCAAAGGAGCTACCCCCCACCCTCAGGCGGAGGGAGCTTCATTGAAGAAGCCTGAGCAAAGTGTGTCCTGTCAGTAGTAGTGGCCTACCTAGTAGCTGTTAGCTTCCACGCGCCTTACTCAAGCTACCACCCCCCAAATTGAGAAAGAGATGCCGGTTAAGACTTGTGCATCTAAGTCTCTCGCGACTCTTGGCAGGTTCGATGGCACGTGACTTGGGAGCCTTATTGCTTTTCGCCACTTCCGGCTCTTTTTTGCTCTGGCTTTTGCCTGCCAGGATGTCAGCTACTGGCTGCAGCAGCTCATTGCACGCAGAGATCTGCTCCGGAAAAATGAAGCTTGTGTTTAGGCAAAGGCCAGACATGGCCTTCGTCATCAGCTCTTCTACCTTGCGCAAGAAGACCATGCCACGAGGCAGTTGATCGCTCTTTTCCTCTTGGATGCTTTCTCCTTTCAGTTTGCGATCCAATGCCCAGATTAGCTCAAGGACCTTGTTGGGAGACGAAAACTGGCCAGCCAAGAGCATGAAATCCGGTCCCTTCGGCTTCTTTGCTTCAGGGACTTGGCCTGGTCGAAGCACAGCCTCCTCACCTGTCTCTGCCTCTTTTGAAGCCATTTGCCTTTCTAACTCCTCCATGGCTTCCGTTAATAGCTCCTGAAGAGAGGTGTCCAAGTCACCGCTTTGCAAAGAAGAGCTGCTCGTAAGCGCCTGCAAGGCCGCAAGCACGGCAGCTGAGCGAACTGGAACCATGTACCCCCGGTCCAAGCGGCTGCGCAACTCTCTCACGATCCATGGAAGCCACTTTGGCCCAAGTGAGGCGGACACATTTTGCAGGGCCCTTGGTTAGAAGTTGAGGGACTCATGGAAAACAGACAATAAAGAAATATTTGACAGACATATTCATATACAAACATCATGTATGGCTATTGTATGCCAGAACACTGTCTGGATGCTCTGCGGCTCTCAGGATCGCGTTCCTTCAGGCCTTGCACCACATATCCTAAGATTTTGGGAAGTTCTGATGCAAAGTCATCAGCTGGAAGATGTCGGAGACAATGCATCATCACGCTGATCACTGCAATCCGCACTGCAGGTGTCTTGCTGCCTTCGCTCTTTCCCTCTGATCCCTTGGGCTTTTCTTGCCACATCTTCCTGAGAATAGGCAGAACAGTACTCCTCAGAGACTTCACAATGCTATCAACACTTTTGAGCTGATCCGCTCCTTTTTCTTGCTCAGAAGCTTCAAGTTCAGGATCATCTCCAAGTTTCTCCTTCTCACCACCATCAGCCTCCTTGTCATCACTCTCCTCTTTTGGCTCTTTTTCATCTCCTTCATCATTGTCTTCCTCCAGCTCAGCAGCCTCCTTTTCAATATTTTCTCTGGTTGCAGCCTTCACTCCACTGCCTCTGTCTGTTCCTCTTCCTTTGCCCCCCTTGCCTTTCCCTTTGCTACGTCCCTTTCCTCGTGCTTTCCCCTTTCCCTTTCCCTTTTTGCCTTTTCCACCCTTGGGCCTTCGCTTTTCAGGGAATGCATCCAGAACATCTGGCAGCTTCATGGTCCCAAAACCATGGAGCAGCTCTGGGCTTGGCAACTCCTGCTGTGGGAGTGGGAAGCGTTGAAGGCATTCACAGGCCCCACGGACAATCCAACGCTCACGATTCTCATTCTTGGATAGGAGAAAAGCCAACTGACGAACCAGTTGCAGGCATGTGGACCAAGACACGCCATGCATGCACTCGCCAAGGCACTTGATGCCCGTCTCCGCGTAGTTGGGATCGAACGCCGCGTTCGAAGCGCCGTGTTGCAATATAGCCTGCAATGCAAGTGGCACGACAAAGTGTGTCAAGGTGGTCGATGTCAAAGAACCGGCCCCAGCGAACTTGGACAATGCCAGCAAACCTCTTCCCCGACGGTGCTTTTGCAAATGAAGCAGGTTGGCAAAAAGATCCCCTCCTTCATCTCCCTTGACGGTGGCGAGGAGAGGCAACAAATCTTGATGCAGCAAAGCTTCTGGGGATGCTCCAAACGCAGAAGCCCCAGCAACGCTTGATTCAACAGATCCTTCAGCTTTCTGTGACTTCCATGCTTCGCAGTGAGGAGCAAGGTGCCGAACATAGTGCGACAGCACACGCAATGCAGTGCGAAAAACGTCATCTGTTGGAGCTTTCAACATGCGGCGCAGTGTTTGAAGGGTGATTGTGAAGGTCAAGTGGCACAATTCCTGGCGATCTGGCGAGGTTTCTTGAACTTGTCCTCTCAACCGGTCAGCCAAACAGCAAAGCACTCGTTCTGCACCTCTCTGCACTCCCAAGTCAACTCCTTCGCAGCTTAGTAGGAACAGGCAGTGGTGTAACAAAGGAGTCAACATTGTTGCAGGAATCACCTTTCCATCAACGAGAGAACTGTCGGCCAACGTTTGCAAAATCTCAACATGAGCATCAACATCAGGCTCACGCAAGCCTGAACGCCTAAGGCTATTGAGAGCACTCAGCAAATGAGCAACATGCAAAGCTGTGAAGCTTTGGGAACCTTCTGGTTGCCAGCCATGTGGTTCTTTCAGGTATGCCTTTGCATCATCGTGGGCTTTGATGGCTTCAACTTCAACAAGGAGCTCAGCCAACTGCCCCCTCACTGAGACATCCTTCACATGGCCCAAAAGTCGAGCAATCGCATCAGAAACGTAGGTCGCTTGAGATTTCTTACCAGGCTCTTCAGTACTCGGGCATTGCCCCGGCAATGCTACAAAAACCAGGCGGCGAATAGAAGTTGTCAGCATCAGTTGGCTGTCAGAAGAGAGGCCCTTCTTGTTGCTTGACAGCACTGTCATCAGCAGTTGCACTAGTTGCCGAGCCACCTTTTCATCACTACACCACTCTGAGACTGATGCAAGAACAGAGAGTTCGGTGGGAGTTGCAATGCACGCCCGCTTTGGCTTCTTCCCCTTGATGTGAAGGCGATGCTGAACCAGCTCATGCATGCTGGAGAGGAGGACGTCAACATGAGGACGCACAATTGAGATGCCATGTTGCACTGCCGCCTCCTGATGCAGCGATTCAGCGTGCTCGGTTCTCAACACACCCCTACACACTACACAGAAACATCTCAACCTGAACCTTTGACAGCAATCAACCTAGAAACCCCTCACCTCTCCTGAGCTTCTTTGTCCACCATTTCCTCCTCGTCACTGCCGCTTTCGTCACCCTCCCTGCTACGCTTCCGAAGCTCTCTCTTGACATCCCTGAATAAGCGACGGGCCTTCCTGGTGGTTTCCAGCATTGACCCCCTGCAAAGCCGCAACGCAACTTCAGCAACAATGGGCACCACGTCCCCAGCTCGGCCGGAATCCGCAATCATAGCACGGACTGCATTTGCAGCAGGAACTTGGAAAAACCATTGCAAAACTGGGAAGGCCTCAAAGCAAGGAAAGAGTGCTGGCTCACATGACCAACTCCGCACTAGCAAAACCACTGCAGAAGTCTGCACAGCACCACTTGTTTGTGCAAGGCGTTGGACAAGGAAGTCCAATGTACCTTTTGCAGGCTTCAAGGCTTCTAGCATTTCAGGAAGGCGTTCGGGGAATTGCTCGATCAATTCTTTGCAGCGTAGGATGGCCGCACGCAAGCATTGCCTTGTGATATGCATTTGTTCTGACCGTTCCATACTTTGGGAGATGCGGCCAGCGCGTTCAAGCACAGATGCAACCAACTCCATCAACCGCTGAGGCCATTGGCTATTTCGTAGCTTTGTTGCCATCTGTGGAATCACCTCCCCCAAAGTTTGCAGAACTCCAAATAGCCTTTGGGGTGTAGCTTCGACATCCAGCAAAACAAATGACTCGCCAAAGCGCCAAGCCCAGCCAGCTGGAACCTTACCTCAGCTCTCTGGAATTCAAAAGCGTTCACTGCACCGCTACGCATCCCAGACACAAAAAACTAAAAGGCAATGAAAGAGAAACTAGTCGCCATCTTTCCGGCCCCAACGGGATGCACTTCCTAACGCCTCGCTCCACCACAGGGGCACTTGCTCCTGTGAGAAGGCTCTGCGAAGGGATGCCATCCGCGCAATGGATGAGGTTACTCGGGAATCCAATGTTTCACTGGACAAGACCATCATCACAGCTCCCAGCACGACCAAAAACCTCAGCTGCCCTCTGCTCAACCATCCTGTTCCCGTACAACTGCTGGCCTGCCAGCCTTTAAACTACTGCTTCCGTGAATCCCTTTGCATACTGAAAATAGAATGTTTTAAACGGTTCACTTTCAGGAAACATGTGCAGGCTCAAGCAAATCAAACGCCTAAAGCAAGTCCCACAATTAATGAGTCTATGCGCCCCCTGCCCAATGATTCAATTCCAAAGTCATCGTGCGTTGAGGCTTTGCAGACCGCAGACTCTCGAGAAACTCATAGACGAAAATCGGGTTGCTATATAATATAAATCCACCCGCACCGAAAGTGCTGAGGCGTTGCGTAGGCTTCGCACAAACCGCAAGATAGCTGCTGGAATAATCCGCTTAACAAGCTTTAGCTTAGGGGGGCCTTTTGAGCTTTTGGAAATGGCGTGTTTTTGAATTTTAGATGCTTTTTTTTTCAAGATTGATAAAACTGATCCCCCTTGGAATTAAGTCTCCCTCCCGGGTGTCTAATTCTTTAGGAATCCACCGGTGCCACTGCCAGATGCCAAGAACTCTGGTCGGGCAAGGGTGTCCCCAGGATTCCCCGAGAAACTTTAAGTTCTAATAGGGGAATGCATCCTGCCACGCCACAAGTTCCCAGGATCCCCCAGGTATTCCCCTGTTAGAACTTAAAGTTTCCCGGAAAATCTGGGGACACCCTTGCCCGACCAGAGTTCTAGACACTGGGACCTGATTCTTTAGACCATGGGTGCCATCTGATTCTTTAGACTGGGACACGTGGCTGGGTTCTGATTTTTTAGGGGGATAGGCTCATGATATCCCCCAAATGAGGGCAACATGTGGTCCAAAAAATCAGACTCTTCCAGATGACGATGAAAGATTCATGACAACTTACCATTCTTTAGAGGAATGTTGTTGCAAAGTGTGTTTAGGGCATCTTGGGGCTTGATTCTTTAGACATGTACATCCCTCACACAACCAGTTCTAGACACAGAGATTTGATTGTTTAAGGTGTTATACCCGGTTGTACTGGGACCTGGGGTGTGTACAGTCTTTTTGAGCGGATTGACCCTTTCTTAGCCAGATCATGTGCATAAATTTGAAGGGCTGAGGTTCAAATTCAGGCCCAAGCAGTGAACCCTTAGGACAACTTGGCGCCCCAAATCTACTAGGACGGAAGAAACATTTCGTCCTAGTAGTTTTCTTGATGATTTTTGAGGTCGCAAAGATGCGAGTTATGACAAGTTTGAACAGATGGTAGAGTGCCGTGATCATGGATAAATCCCTTTGGTCACAATCCTTCTGGAACAGTCATCATCATGGACTGGTACGTGTGTGGGGTGGATGTTCCCATTCTTTAGGGGAGTCCAGGTTTCCAAGGAGGTATGTGCACAGTTCTCAACGTGTTCTGATTTTTTATGCCCAGTGTCCAGTATGTGCTGGCGGATTGCTGATTCTTTAAACTACAATGTTGGTATGGGCCATCTGGATTCAGGATCCTTTAAGGTGGGACCTGATTCTTTAGACCATGGGTGCCATCTGATTCTTTAGACTGGGACACGTGGCTGGGTTCTGATTTTTTAGGAGGATAGGCTCATGATATCCCCCAAATGAGGGCAACATGTGGTCCAAAAAATCAGACTCTTCCAGATGAAGATGAAGATTCATGACAACATACCATTCTTTAGAGGAATGTTGTTGCAAAGTGTACTTAGGGTTTGATTCCTTAGAGGTGTACATCCCTGATCATTCCATTTTTATCATGCTTTGTCTGGTTTTATCTTGTACATCGTGGTGTTTCTTGCAGCTGGCTGCTGAGGAGCCTTCCCAAATCCTTTGCTTGCAAGCGGTTTGGAAAAGCCTGAATGAGGAATCGTTAGGATATGCATCAGGATGCATTAACCCTCCTATGTATGCCTGTCTATGCCTGTCTATCAGGTCTCGTAGTTTGCAACATCTCAAAAGCTTGAGATGAGGGAAAGATAGGGAACGTTTTGAAGAGTGATCATCATTGAACATTGTGTTGTTCTGACATGCTCAGTTTTGAAAAAGGCATTGCCATTGGATGCCGTTGGCATTGATTTCCAGGCTGAAGGATGCGAGTGTGGCGTACAATTCAATATCAAGTGCGCCTCTAAAAAATCAGACTCCGCTGCCACCCTAAAAAAATGGAAAGTGACCCTCATCAACCAGCTTAATCTTACTAAAGAATGGCACGTTTTTTGAACACCCGGGTTCTCTGATTGTTTAGGGAAAATTCTAAGGGAATTTAAAGCTCTGACGCTATGTTTTGGGAAGTAAACGTTTGCGATGCCGGCTATGCCGGCCGGGGGGCACTGCATTATTGACATCGTGGGATATCGTGGGTGTGTTCGTCCGTGCTTGAAAGAAACAGACAGACAGACAGACCGACAGACCGACCGACCGACCGAGACAAACAAACCGAGACAGACTATTGACATCTTGCGCTGTGTCGAAAGCCAGCCAACGTAACAAGACATCAGGAATGGGAGAAATAGAAGGCAGAGGGAAATAGAATGAAGAGGGGCACAAAGTCTCGCGCTGAGGGTCGATATGATAGGCTCTATATTTGAATTGGGGTGCCCTGGGTCTTTTGGTTTAGGGGTCGTTTTCAAGCTGAAAAAGTGCACCCCGAAGTAACTGAGGCTGCACTCATAAACTCGGTGTGCTGCCAGGAGTGGACCGACGAAAATTTTCTGTCAAGATCACGTGATTGCCTAACATCGAGCAACGATTATTGCTGTTATGGGGTGAAGTCGACATTGCAGTGACCTCTACTGCTTTTAGGCACGGGGAAATAGAAGGCTCTTTATATACAATGCCTTGATCAAATCCCATTCACTGCTATGAGTTTGGACAAAGGTTGAACTGAGCAGGATGGGGGCGGCCTAGCAACTAAGGTTGCTGACTGCATTCTATTTCCTCTCCTGTCCCCTACCTGCACTCTTAAACCTGGTGAGCCTCCTCAATATGAGGTATCCTCTTGAGGGAGCAAATCCCATATCAAGACGCAACTGTAAAATTAAACCCGCAAATGTCCTCCTGCGCTGTCCGAACGCTATCTCTATCAGAAATAGATTCTGGCTTGCGCAAATTTCGCCGCTTCTGTCCTCGAACTGGATGGGCACACCTGGTTAGCCTGGTGAGCCCCCTCAGTCTGTAATGACCTCTTTCTTGCATTGATCTCCCCCCTAGTAAATAGACAGTCTAAGTGGTCTCCTGACCACTTCGTGAGTCCCCCAAACCCCCACCCCTAGTTAATAAACAGTCTAAATAGCATCCTAACCACTTGGTGAAGCTAATGACGCACAATTCGGCGTCTTTTGCATCACTCGCATCACCAAGACCCCCTAAAATTGAAAATACATGTTCATTACTTTCCGGACCGCCTCTTCTTTTTGCTCTCCCCAACCAGGCTCTGGGTTCACCCTACCCGGCACCCCCTATACTCACTTCGTTCGCCCATCGACAACTCCAGCCTAGCCTATCGGCTGGCTTCCATAATCTATATAGTATATGTATATATATATATATATGTGTGTGTACATCATCTCCTAGCTGGCGCGGGTTCTGTTGCACTCTCCACGTACGCCCCTCAGCATGCTAAAGCTCAGAAAAGACACAGCTCTGACAGCGATGCTTCGTCCGTGAGACTTGACAGGTATGCGAACACTGAGCCGCGGCGGCTGGATTGGGTGCTTCGCTTGTCCAGTTGCTTTCCTTTCCGGGTGGCTTTGGAGAAAAGTATCCGAAGCACCAGCGGCAGAAGACGGTCTTTATTCTCAAACAGCACATTGGCAACATCGGCTTCTGCTTCGGCTGCTGACACATCGCGAGACGACAGGGAAAGGAGTTCGGTGCTGAAAGTTGCATCATCACAGAGTCTCTTCAGGGGTTCCTCACACTGTGAAACAAACGGGAACGACTCCTGGCACTTGGCAAGAACTGCCACGGCGAGCCGCTGAAGCTTGCTGTCTTCGAGCAATAGCCAATGAACGCAGGCATGTATGCATTGTTGAACCAAAGGTCTAGCACACCGTTCAATGCTTGGCATCGCTCCCACAACCTCTAATGCATGCACCATTGGTGTGTACGTTCCTTTGCCACTTAGGCCCTGCTCATAGCGGCGACACAAATGTTGCAAAAGCTTCGCCAAGAGCCAATCCTCGCGGGTAAAATCATGGGGCCAGGTTTTGCAGCAAAGTTTGTTTGATTACTGTCAGTTTAAAGTTTTGTTTGCAAACACTTTGCAGCACCCTGGTTCTCCTCATGATGCTGTCGCATAGTCGCCTCCCAAGGCTCCAATCCCTTTGACCAGAATCTTTGCTGAAGCAGTTTGGAGGCCAGCTGCCAAGCTCTCCCATGCATGGCCATCGCTGCCACACTCTGAGTGTTCCAAGAATCTCTTCCTGGGCAAGCAATAATAAAGCGCAGTCCAGAAAATACCCATATATGAGAATAGATAATGTAGATATACATATATATATAATATGATTTAAACCGACCAGAACCGCAAGCTGAAACCATCTGAAAGCATACGACCACAGCATGACCATCGAAGGAATCCACCGCCCTGGCCTTTCCAAACATCATCCAAGGCCTTTCGCCAGTCGCTCTTCTTCCAAAGCTCTGTAGCCCAGGACTCCACCTCAAGTGGATCGAGTTGCTTCCGTGGTTGCCCTGTGGGGGCCATCCCACTCTCTTCACTGCGGGCTTCTTGAGCTGAAATCATGGCCACAGCGATGGACCAGGTCATTTCAGTCCACCACCAATTGTCATTTTCTGGGAAGTTCTGGTAGTCAGGTGGTCTCAGGAATGGCTCCAAATCCACTTCCGCAAAATCCAGCAGGCCAAATCTATTGAACCCTTCGCCTTTCGCTTCCCCTTCTTGGGCGAGCTTTCCGCCATCGTTGCTCTTGCCTGTGTCTCCAACGCCTGTCTTAGTTACACGTCGCTTCTTTCGCTTGGAAACAGTGCCCTCTGCAGCACGCTTCTTGTTCTCTGGATTCGCCTTTTGCCGGCCACTCTCCAGAAGTGCCTCTTGAGCTGGTGCCCAAAGCGTTGCAAGGCGCACAGAGAACTGACTTGCAAGGATTTGCATGGCCAGCCTTGACTAGTTCCACAGTTGAAACGTGCAAAAACAACTGCACTACATTACTACATATCCAATTGTAGTTTCAGCTCTCTTGACTAGCATGCATGATACAGTAAAGTGATTCATTGCCAAGCAGCATCGAAGCCCAGGATCGCCCCTTCAACGCTCTCCCAATGCGCCTGATCTGTTCAGACCGGCGTCTCTCATTGTGGAAGTCTGGTGGTATGTTCTCCAACTGCACGCAAAGCTCAAGCAATTGCAACGCATCGCTTCCAATGTTGGCTGTCTCTTCCGCCTGGCTATTCTCAAAAACCTCGCCACAATCCTCGCAGTTGCTGTGAATGTCATGTGGGACCATTGCATACCAGGGAAGGTTGAATTAAATTACAAACTAAAACAAGCTAAGCGTCTGGTCTTTGAAGACACCTGGCCAGAACACTCTGTGGCAGCAGCAATGCCACACGCAGAGCAGCCAATCTGATTTGAGCATGGGCCGACTGGGCAGCTTTCCAGCAGCAGGGCATGAGACCAAGGATTGCTTCAGATGTGTGAATGGTCTTGTTCGAAAAAGCATGGCTGACAGCCGCAAAGAGTGGTCCTGGTCCACTAGGCTCGGACTGTGCCCATGCAACTGCCCAAGCATCCCAAGTTTGCCCTTCCTCCGTGTCTTGCCCAGAAGGCCATGCCTCTCGCGGAGGTGCAGTGGGACCGTCTGGTACATGCAGGGAACTAATGCAGCAATCAAAGAAACGAGCCAGGAGCATTGCAGAAGAAGCTTTTGGCAGCAGCAGTGCCAAGCGGCTCGGCATGTTGGGATCTGAGATTGGATGAAGCTTGAGGAATCGCAAGAGTGCACCAGAGTATGCCATGGCCCCCGACAGCTGCAAAGGTTCCACTGAAGAGGGAGCCAAGCTTCCAAAACTGTCTAGCGTCTCCACCACATGTTTCATCTCTTCAAGCACTTGCTCAGGCTCGGCTTTCCTCCAAGTGTGCAACTGCGCTGAGCTAATGCAAAGCTCATTTGAAAGTCGCTGCTTCGTCTCACCGAGCATTAGGCCTGCAGCTGTAGCTGCGGAGAGTCGTGGCAGCAAATGCTCAAAACCTGGCAGCATGTCAGGTATCAAAGCCGCGCAGGCCAAGCTCAGACTTTCCTCGGTGATCCCAACTTTACACGCACACACACATATATTTATTTATTTGTTTATTTATTTATATTTATATACTTATTTCAAAAACACATGCACACTGAAACAAAACATGGCACCCAGCGACAACATACACTCAACCCCAACCGAGTTTCATCATTCCCACTCAACAGCAGTGCACTCTGAGCTTCAACGCTGTCAGGTCCTGCAAAAACAGCCGCAAGTTTATCATCACAGCAAGGTGCGACGATCGAGGGCATTGCACGCCAAAGTAGCAGCAAGGCCCGCTTTGCAGTCTCAGAGGCTGCCATGGCCACAGGTGGAAAGGCTAAGACCATGGCATTGGCTGCATCCAACAACGATTTTTCTTTGGCATTGGCTGGTGTCAAGTTTCCAGCTTCAACAATGGCACTCAAGCACTCCACTGCAACTGCCACAAAGGCCTGCCAGCTTTCACCGCAACAATCACGAGGCCGAGGCTTTGCATAGACCCAAGACACCACCAAATCAAGATAGAAAAGGACCTCCTGCTCCAAGTCTTGGTTGCTGAAAGGTCTTTCTATCGAATCTTCGCTTTCACTCTCTGAATCGTCGTTTCTTGGCTCTGAATCATTCGCGACATCTCTGCCTTTCGCTGCGTTGACATACCGAATCGAAACAGCCCTGAAATTGCTGAACATTACCTCCACAAGATCGGCAGCTGAATCAAGACTGCGAGCATGGTTTCGCATGCGCAGCACGGCCATACGGATGGCACGGAGTTGTGCAGCCCGTTGGGCTTTGGTCAAGCTTGCAGCAGTGACAGAATGCCGGACTCCCTTGAAAAGAGGAGTTAGGACTGCGATGGTCTTGCTGCGGAACTGATGTTGAACCCCCTTGACGGTCTTTGCAAAAAGCACGCTGAGACCATCTGCCATAAGATTCAATTCATGTGGATTTTCTGTGCTCCCAAACAGTTGGAAAGCATCAAACATTGCGGCCCGCATGCCGGCTGAAGGTATTCGACGGAAAACTAAGGCCAAGCTTTCTGCAGAGAAGTGCCGAATACGAATTTTCTTGTGTTTCAACAGAACTGCGTACTGGCCCAAATACTTCGGCAACTCACTAATCACGTAGCGCGCCCGGTATTTCAGTAGATATGTCAAACATTCCGATGCATGCTCTAGCAAATCTGCATCTTCCTGGCCAGTTCGGCCCGCGGCCGAAATGAGGTCGAGAAGCACTGGAAAGACCCGTTGGAAATGTGGCAGAATGTCAGCCTCCTCATCCCCAGCAAGCAGCCCCAATCGGGTCAGTATGACTTCAGCGGACATTGCTTATGGTAAAAGTTTTGAGCAAAAAATCGATAATGTCAGCATGGTCTTCCATGATTAGGCCCGCTACGCCTAAAACCAGCAGCCTATGCCTGGGCCTACGCCACATATGCCTGTGCATTCTTGCTGCTGACCAAAAACAACATACATCAATGCAGAACAGAACTGTGAAGTGACATCTCCAACACCTGGACACAACTGTGCGCTGCAACTACTGCTAAATGGCTACCAGGGCAAGCAATGCAGACTGTGCATGCTGCAAATTCAACGACCAACTGTGGGCTTTTTGAGCATGCATGGCTTCAAAATGCTATAATGGAGAAGCAGCAGCAGTGGTAGTCCAGCGGACAGAAGTGCTTTTGTTTTCCCATACAGTCACAACTCAGACTCTGACCTGCTGTGTTTCCACCTTTTCGATTGACGGGTTGGTCCCCCTTCCTGCAACAACTTCAAAACAGACCTTTCTTGAGCAAGGTCTACTGGCTTCTGTTCATTCAAGTTGGGTACGTGAGGCTCAGCTCTCAGTTCCAGCAGAGTTTGTACGACCTCAGCATGGCCATGGAGGGCGGCCCAGTGCAAAGGCATCATTCCTCGAACATCGACTTCGTGGATGGCACCTCGATGGGCACAACAAAGAGTATGGTTATAAATCATGTTTACTACGCAATGCTCCCGTAAGAGCTTTTGTTGGTAATTGGTAGCAATGGCAAGTGACATCCTTTCCACAAGGCGAGCTTAGTAACCAGGGGGAGTTCAGGCACCTCGATGAGAAGCAAGCTTCTTTAGCATGTCCACATGCCCTGTGGTAGCCGCCGCTGACATTGGTCCTCCACCGGCATCATTGGTGGTTGAGACATCAACTTGATGTTCAAGCAAAAGGCCTGCAACTTCAAGATGCCCCTGGGTTGCTGCCCATTGCAGTGGGGTTGCTCCTTCAGAATCATGCTCTTTAGGCACAGACACATGGCCAGCTAAAGCCCTCAGCACCTGGACATGTCCACTAAAAGCTGCCAAAAAGGTTGGTGTCAAACCCTCAGCATCTCGCTGTGTTGGCTCTGCCCTGGCCGCGAGCAAGTGTTCCACAACCTCTGGAAAACCATGGAGAGCTGCCCGGTGGAGTGGTGCATGGCCATAACGGCCAAATACCGAAACCAACTGCTCTCGCGTACTTGGAGCATTAGGATTCGCAAAGTTGTGCTTCAATGCTTTTTTGACAGCTGCAAGGTCGCCTCTATTTGCTGCGCGAAGCAAATCTGGCCAGGCCTCTGTATGACCTTGAGCCCCGACTGCCAAGCTGAAGTCACTGAGACTGCACGTTGCGTGCTCAACATTGTCACCAAAATAAAGAACTTCACCCTGATTCTGCACACAAAGGCTTATGCCAGTAGGGACTTGGTGGCCTTCAATGGTTTTCTGAATTGATCCACAAGGGTCATCCCAACCCTCAAAGCTTGAAGCTGCTAAAGCTGCGGAAGCCTTTGAAGCCAATTTGGGCAACCACCATGCTTTGATGCCGCTCAACAAGGCATGCCATGTTTCTGGATGATTGCCGTGTCTCGGCACAGAGCCACCGCTGACGCCAATAGAAAAAATGGGTCTTTCAGCAAAGTCTATTAGCAATTTTCTTCGAGGAGGTTTACGAGCACTTCGCCAAGCACGGCCAAACGCCCCTCGAAGGGTGTCAGAAACAAATATCATCTTGTCATTTCTTTTGGACTTTACATAGTCTGCTAGCTTTGGATGGGCATATCTGCCTCTGGTATTGTCAGCATAGAATGTCTCGTTCCCGTGGCGAGCAAGCACTTCCCCTTCGCCTGCAAACAGTAGAAGGTGCCCTTGAAGTCACCATTTGAAACAGTGTTCTCTGCGCAACAATAACCAACCAACACAGTGTCAAATTCAGATTGGACAGGTGCTGCCAAAAGTCGCCACTCTTCAAGCTCCTCTGCGTCAAACAAGCCTGTCAGCACCACACCTGTAAGGGACGGGATGCACAACTTAAAACTTAATAATAAGTTTGAACTTGAGACGTATATGAGGGAAGGTTTGGCAGAGTCGTAAGAATGACCGGCCTTCAGATTGATTCACAGAATGCATGAGCAAGGACGCTACTAGGAGCAAAGGGCATCGCTACTAGGAGCAAGAAGCTACTAGGGGCTCCTGGCCATACTACTAGGAGCAAGGACGCTACTAGGGAACATTGAGAAGACATGTGCCATGAGAATTCTTGAAGTGCACCTGTTGTGCGAGCCTGCACTCCCTCGATGACCAGCTGCGTTGAAGGCCGCCCAATCCATACCACGCGCATTTACACGTGGTATGTCGCAGCGGTGTAGCAACGCCATTGCCACGTCACGATTGTTCATTGGAGCAGTCTGAAAAGTCTCTCTCTCTCTCTCTCTGGTGGGCATGACTCGGAGTCGTCTCACGGAGACGCCCAACTAGGCCGGAGACCAAGGGGGGTTGCACATGTTCAGTTCTCAATTTTCCTCAACATGCCTTGGTCTTGTCTAAGCAATTGTGAAACGTTCCATACAGCTTCACTGAGTCTTAGCTGGCCCTCAGCACAAAAAGTTGCAAGGAGACTTGGTCACTGCAGGCATACATTACAATGTGATACAGTGATACACACGTAGAAGCCTGTCACTTTTTGCACGTGGATGCTGATCGTAAAACTGCGATCCCAGCTCTTCGATCGCCAAGACTTGTGAGACCTGCTGTTCAAGTCTAGAACACTTCTTCATGTAGCTTTTGGAGCAGAGCCAGGTGGCTTCAAGACCTCAAAAACCAGCTTCTAGGCTGACCATGCTCATGTGCCTTCTACTTATCCATGGCATGGATGTCACTAGTTCGCCTTCTACCATCTGGCTCTTTGAGCTGGCGTGAATGAGCTGATATGCCTCAGCAAAAAGGGACAAGAGTAGGGCCGGAGCCAATGGAACAACCCTGCTGGAAATTCCACATGATTCCGATCTCAATCTCAACTCCCAAAAATCATCTATATGTATGTATATACATATACATATCCATACTATAGGATCTATAGCAAAGCTAAAAACAGGATAGGACGGACGGGTCCATCTCACCTTTTGCATAGCCAAACACAAGCAATGCCTCAAGGATTCTATGGGCCTAGAGTCTATAGGCAAAACAATAGAAGGGCACATTGTATTACCGGCAATTGTCAACATACGTCAAAACACTGTAACACAATCCACTCTACTTTGTGCTATCCCCGCCCAGGCCACGTCGCATGTACATGGGTGGGATGGATGGGGCCACTGGGGCACACACACACAACACACCTGGTGAGATGACTGGGCCAGGATTCACTCCAAACACAACTCAGCACCCTTTGGTCAAACACTTGTGTGAGGTTAGACAACCCGCTATATGCGCAAGTGCGTGTGAACACTACATAAATACGTAATAATACGTAAACATAATACAACAGTCAAACCGAACTAATTCGAGCCGGCCCTTGTATGGCATCAAGACAAATTGCGTTTCAAATTCAACTCAAAAGGTCAAGTTTCCAAAAACATCTAGGAACCAAATCATTCCTTGAAGAAGCGTGAGCTATCCTGCGTCCAAGATAGGAGCTTCCTTGAAGAAGCGTGAGCTATTCCTGCATCCTAGCTAGGAGCTTCCTATTGCCAGTAGCGACCTATTGCTAGTAGCTAACTACTCCCTTACTCAATTGAGTAGGGCTAAAAAGAAAAGACGGGAACTTTCCAAATGGAACTGCGGATCAGGCCTCTGTGTGAAAAACGGGATAATCGGGCCCAAGTTCCAAAGATGTGACGGGCTGCCACTAGTGCTTGAGTATGATTCAGACTGCAAAGAGCTGGGGTTTCCTCATGTTTCCCTGGCTTACCACCAACCATGCACAACGTGACGTTTGACAATGGTAAAGCCGAAGCTCAACTGTCGCAGCAAAAATCATGGCCCATGAAACTGGAAAGAGGTGCGATGACGCTTTTAAGGATCTTGCGTCTCAAGATATGAAAAATTGTCCTTGGAGTCAAAAAGGGTTGAGTTGCGTGGATATAGCTTAGCACTATGTCACTATATAATCGGCACTAAGTAATACTGTAGCCCGCGATGGTTGAATCAGTTTGATCTTCATCTGGTCTGGCCATTCAACCATTTGACTTTATGGTCAAAACAGTGTACCTAAAATGTTGCATCTAGCTGCCCAAATCCGGTATGAAAAAATGACACGAAAAGAACTCTCACTCATTCGAGTCACTTGTACCACCGCGCCACGTGTGGAAACTTCTCCGAGGAGACACTGTTCGGGACTGCAGCCTTGCACATGAAACGTGTCAAGGACTTTCAGTTCGAAGCGGGCAAAGCAACCAGCAAAGGACCAAAAAGGAAACGCCACAACGAGCAGTACTGGGAGGCCAAGCGCTCCGAACAAACAAATGACCCTTTTTCTTTTGTCAATGTGTAATTATTCATTTGTGTTTTGGGGGGGGTGTCGCTACTAGTGGTTTGGTAGCTAAGTAACTCCCTAGCATGCTTGGAGGCAGAAAAACCATACAGTAGCCTACTTGCAAGTGTCCACGCTTGTCTGAACCCCATGTTAGACCTAGGCTGCCGAGCCAGCTGAGCAGCATCTGCCTGGCACATGTGGGCTTTGACATGTAGCCGCAGAAGGATTTCAAACTAACGAGAAGGATGCAAAACTAATGAGGTTTCGAGACATCAGCAAAAAAACGGAGAACGAACAGTTTGGCCTGCGAGGGCTGGTAGCCACCATCAACATAACTCCTCACAGCATGGTCAAGCTGTGCGAGCATAATGTGCATGTCAGAAACGTCACAAGCTTTTCTACGGCCATGCCCTTTCATGCTTCTTGTCTCTCTCAATTCTCGTAAAGAATTGTGAAAAGTAATCTCGGGGACGCGGAAAAAAACATGCACATTCAAATTCAGAATCAACAGAAAAAGCATGAAAAAGCACCACGATGATGGCAATGACCACAACAGCCACCACCGCAACGACTACCACCATGAGTTGACAACAAAGTCCAAGAACAGGGGCAATGCAACCCCCCGGGACTCTCTCAAATCCTCGTACTCAGGTGATCGTTGAGCTTATTGATGTCAGCGATCGTGGAGGCCTAAGTGAATGCCACGGAAAACCTCCAACAGCCCTAAAGAGCCATGAAGCGTCAACCCGTATTTTTGCCTGAGCAGCGGGAGGCGCGTTTCCATTTGTCTTTCCAGGCTTGGCTTCCTAAGTAGCCAATCGTTTGAACGCAAGATTCTCGTCGCTGGCTTGACGATGGCCAAGGTTAAAACGGCCTTTGCTTTGCTGCCACCGCCTTTGCCTCAAAAGTTCTCAGCGCGGTCAGTTTGCATTTGTTGTTGCCAGAGAAGATTGTGGGCAGTCACGAAGCCTCCTCCCTCAACTATGAAGTGGATGCCTGGCTTGCCAGGCCTCGTCGCACCATTCAATCCAGGAAAATCGACCATCATTTACATAATCTGGTGGATACTGTGATCTTCTTGCGACTGAGGCCTTTTGATGCTGAAGACCCTTTGGTTACCTGGTTGGAACAATCCACCACTTGGGTTTATGGCTGTGCATTTGCTGCCGCGTCCTCGCGTGCAATTGTTTGCTCCAGTTGAGCACTTAATTGTTTGACACACTCGTCTGGATGTCACATGATGTGACATGGAAGTGCTCCTTATGGTCAGGGCTGGCCAAAGAGTCAGCTGGTCGCACCTCCACTTCGGCCTGCCCCATCACAAACTCAAAGGCTTTTTGAAAGATGTGGGAACCTGCCTGTAGCTTCTGTCGGAGGTACGCAACCTCAGCATGAGCCGCGCAACTTCGGAAACTCCCTCTCTCTCTCTTCTATACATAATATATATATATATCATACCGTGTTTTTATCGCTCTATACTTTTATATGTGTGTATTATATATATATATATGTATTATATATCTATATATGTGCGTGTGTGCAATATATATGTATGTATACACATGTGTGTAAAGCACACAAGTACATACGACCCCGAGGTGTTGGCGTTCTCGGAGACCAAAGCAAGCTCATCAAATGGTAGCGATGCATCGAGCGCACTCTTGCCAAAGGAAGCTGCCTGCAACAAGGACTGCTTCTCCCGGATGGATATATAAGCATGTGCTCTATGCAAACTTGGAGGTTAAGGGATTGTGTAATGTTCCGTATGCCATATGCCGCTTTGGAGACTTGCACATGATGTGACAGCCTGCCGGTGCACAACATGCTGGTACCCCTGAAAGTTCAACCTAAGGAGAAGAATCCCCTAATTGACTTCCAGGAGATGTTATACAATCCAACACGCCCAATACTGTGAACTTTCAGGCCAGGATACGCACATGAACATGAAAAACTGCCACGGCCATGAATATTCATTCCAGCCTCGTCCCGCTTGAATGCAGCGAAGGGCCCCAAATGCTTGCCAAATGGCTTCAAAGAGGCGTCCTCACAGCAACTGTTCATGCAACACATGTGAACATGGCCCCGGATGTTTTCACCTGCATGAGCTCCGTCATGATATCCTTCCACTGTTGGGCAGCTTCTGGGTTGGCTTTCATGTCTTCCTGTTATGAATCGGCAGTCTCTTCTGCACAAAGTTACTTGTGCCAGGTGAAATGAATTTGGCTAAGCAAACCTGGGCAACCAAGGGCAGCTTGTTGGCAGCATGGTGATTCCTTGGGATCCCACAATATGGCGACAACGTCTTGGCAGATCTTTTGACAGAACTGCCCCCCCTTCTGTCTTACTGCCCTTTGGAAAGCAATGAGTCAGGCTGACGAGCTTATAATAAGAACAAGACCGCACTTGTTCACAAGCAAGCAAGATTGATTGTGAAGTCTGGAAGAAGCAACGTGCAACACAACAAGGTACATCACTAAAGGCAAAGCTGTGTTGGAACCCAACCGAAGTATAGTATAGCAGAAGGAACTAGAAATGAAACCAAACTGTGCTCGCAAAGCCTTACTCAAAGTACTTGATCACGAACAGCTTGAGCCATCCGGTCACAGGTAGGTGACTGGTAAGCCCTGGGCTCACCTAAAACTATGTTGCGACAACAGCCCGCCATGTGATGCTAACAAACACCACTTTTGTGAAAAAACCGCTCTGGGACGTCGATCGCAGGCGGTAGCTTGCAAATATGTAGTAGGACCTTTCAGACACATTTCGGCAGCAGTGAGCTGCCATGGAAATCATGCGAAAAGCAAATTTGTAGTACAGCAAAACGTGCACAATGTTTGGGCACTCTTTCTGGTGCTACAGGAGTGGAAATCACACAACGCAGCGTAATGGTGAACACACAAAAACCGTGCATAAGAAAGTGCGTGAAGAGCTTGCTGGTGGCGACCCATCTAGTGGAGCCATTCTTTTGAAAAGCCACATGGGCTTCTGGACTTCATGGTCGCTCAGCTGAACGAGCAGTGGAATTGTCTATGAAAAGCATCAGCATCATTGCACTTCAAGAAGTGCACTCTTTGTTCATTGAACTTCAATGCACACTTTGTGAATTGCACCTGCGTTGAAGCGCAAGAGCAATTATGTCGGATTGCGTAAGATGGCAAATGAAATTTCAGCCTGGACATGCCACTGGTGAGTACATTACACATGTGCACAGAGAGAGAGAGGGAGCAGTTGTCGAGCCCGAGGCGGGCTTCAGTTTTCAGCACCAAATGTTTGCAACTGTTCAGTTGTCCTCAATTGATGAAGGCCTTCAAAGGCCAAAGGGCTTGCGACTTGAAGAGCCCAAATAGAAACTGTGGCACTCACAGAGACCAGGACAGATGACGAAACGGCGACCCATGCTACTCCTCGAATCCCTTGCAGCCGTTACATGGCCGGCTTGAATATCAGTTCACATCCATGGAGCACCCTGCTTACACAATGCTGATAACATGCCTGATATGCAAGAATCAGAACAACAATCATGAGAGCACTTAGTGAAAGTTAAATACCTAGGATGTCCTAGGACATCTTGCCAGTGTGTGCTTTGCTAGCAGGGCCCCCCTTGCTCCATGCTCTGAGGACATGGCGACAACTTTGCCAGCACTGTCCTGGGAGGAGCAAATGGCATCACAAGGCTTCATTGGTCCATGCTGCTTCAGGAATGCATACCTTCTGCTAAACAAGAGGCTTCTTCCACTCAGGGTACTCCTGCCACACAGAGAGAGAGAGAGAGAGAAAACACGAATCTCAGCAACTCCGCTGCAAAGCTTAGCACAAGGCTACAGGCAAAGTGCCAAATCTTGATTATGCACAGCGGGCACCTTCGCGACATAAACCACAGCGGATTTCATGGTTCCTCCCTTGGAGGCTTTCTCCAACCTGAAGAAGCAACAATGCAAACTGAAACTTTACCATGGACTTCCACTGCTCAGGCCAGGGCAGCTTGATGAAGTCATGAGGAACCTCAAGGCTTGGCGGTGTGTCCAATTCTGGACTGCATCAGCTTGTGGAGAAGCTATCAGACCTTGTTGAACATGTAGTCCCCTTGCTTGGTGAGAGAGGTTTCCACAGGCTTCGTGGGCTCAGGGAACCTGAAGCTGTCCAGACTTGAAACTCGAGGGAGCGGCTCCCGTCCCTTTCTCATCCTTCCTCCGCATTTTAATCAGTTCCTTGTGATTGGTCCATTGGTGCCTCCAACCTAACAGCTATGGCCTCCAACCTAATGTAAAATGAAATAGCTTTTTGTTACTACTAGTAAGGCACCTGTTACTACTAGCGTGGCACTTGTTACTAGTCTTCTCGCTTTCAATTCGCCTCGCATCCAGGACAGAGCCCGACTTGCCCAAGACAGTCGACCAACCATGTTCGCAGAAGTGAGGGCCTGGAGATTCAACTTGACCAAGAACGTTGTGTTTGTCGTTTACATTTCGGCTTGGAAGACTTGGGCTGCAACAAATGGGCGAGAGGACGATCATCTGCCACTCCAAGTACCTGTCCCCAAGTGGGTCTAACGTGGAACGCGCACACACATAAAAATAACTGCATGCAGTCAAATCTCTCTATTTTTGATAATCTCACACGTGCCTCATGGTCAAAGCTTTGTTTGGCGCCATGCCTGCAGCCTTGCAGATGTCTCGATACCTCACCCCAGCATTTTTCTGCAAAACGATGGATCCAATCAGAGCATCATCATCACATCCAAAAGCATTTAACCATACAGGTTTCGTCAAGTTGGCTGGGGAGCTGGTCAAACATGGAGGTGAACTCGAAGTAGCACGTGCGGAGAGCTTCTCGATAGTACCTGCTTTTCTGCTCAATTGGAAGGCAATTGACACCCTGCCAAAGGGGCACATGGTTTCGTAGAACTTCTTACCCTCTTGCCTCAAAAGTCTGCCAGTGCTTCCAGGCTTTATCCGAAGACTTGCTTCACAATCGGAGGGCTTGGGATGTAGCGACTTCCGTAATGCAAAGTCGTAGATGCAGGTTTGGGGTGCTCAAATGTTCACTATTTTTTGCTGAGTGACACCAAGCGATTGATCTCGTTTGCAAACCACACATCGACAAACCGGGCGTTCTCTGCTCCTCGAAGAACGGTCAACAAAAAGCCAATGTTTGCAAAGGGGTGCCGCTTTCTGGGAAATAGCCCACCTGTGTCAAGCAGTTCGTTGCCGCTGACCAGCGATTTCATGAGGTCCAGAAAGACTGCCAATGTCAGCACCGCTTTGTTGCCTCGACTGAGTTGAAATGGTGTCCGGAATGGCCTCCAACCTAATAGCGTCCTTGCTCCTAGTAGCGATGCCAGGAGCCCCTAGTAGCTTCTTGTTCCTAATAACGTCCTTGCTCCTAATAGCGATGGCCCCAGTTTTTGGACACTGCCAATCCCACGCTCATAATCTGTATTATACATACATATTTTAAAGGTGTAATCGCCCAGGAGGAAACATATGTTGGATGTTTTGTACAGTACACTGTGTTGATTTGTGGGCTTTACCTAGTGCTTCTGGTGATCTCCAAGTGTGTCTGTGACACGCGTTTTTGTGCTTGTGTACATGCACGTGCATATGCATCAACTTGATTTTTCCCCAACTAAGAAGCTGATGTGTTGAATGGCGCTTGCATCTTGAAGCTCGACAATTGTGCTGCTCTGGAGCCGGGATACAAACCGATTGGTCAAAGTTGGCAGGCTCCAGAGTATCTCCAGAATTTGCCATAGCCAGCCGAACTGTGTCCGCGGAGTACCTGCATAGCTCCCAAGCCATATGTTTTGCGGCCGCCCTTCACAGCCAAGCTCAAAAGCAACAAGGCACAGTTTGATAATCTCATCAACGGTGAAGAAGTTTCCTTTCGACTTTGACATCTTTTCCTCAACAAGGCTACATTTTGAGAATGTCGTGGATTGTGAAGAAGTTGCCCTTTTGCTTGGCCATCTTTTCCTCAACTAACAAAGCAGTCTAGAGTTGGCAGAGTGTGTAGGTAATCCTGTATGTTTTTAGATGTGTTTAGCCTCAGCCTCCATACGCCCTGTAGTAATGGCCACAGTCAAGAGCATTGAGCTGTTAAGGCATGGTCATTGTTCACCAGCAGCCAGCCGTTGCAAAAGAAGCTTTTGGGCCAAAGGTCTGGCTCCTTCTCCTCAACGGCGGGGATTGTAAGGAGGTCAAAGTGGTGCCTGTTGACGTGGAATCTGTGGCTCCCCGGCCCAAACACAGGCATGGTTGTAAAGAGCCTTGCATCATGCAGGACTTTTGAAACTCTCCACGGCACCAAGTGCTGTGAGCACCCTCTAAGCTGCAGGCCATTGTCAAATGGTTTTGAATCAAGTCTTTGCCAGAGACACGCAGGTCCATAGGATACCAAAACCTGGAGTTTAGTCTGTTTTGACTTTTGCAGCGAGCACGATTGGTTCTAGATCATGGCCTGCACAAGTTCAACCCACTTCAACCCACTTGTGCCTGAACTCCTTCTGCATTTTCTCCTCCACGGAGAATTCAACAATGCATCAATGCATGGCATACTGAAGGCATCGGAAGCAACATGTCTCCAGAAGCTTCTGTGGAATCTTGCTCTTCTTGGGCAAGGGCCTCACATCAAAGGCTCTGATGTACTTGAACAAATGTTTGACGTTAGTAAGCTGTCGTGAGATTTCAAAGTCAAAAGACAGGCTTGGAGCCCAACCCGTTCAAGAACACAAAGTCCCATACTTCGTCCGTCAAGTCCTCTGCCTGACAAACTCATGAACAACCCTTGAAACCCTACTAGGCTCAGATCGAAGAACGTCCAAGAAACTGGGCAAAGAAGACCAGTTTCATTGCACAAAGCATTTCACCTCACCTTGATCTTTTCTGGGCTGCCTTTCTTGCCGTCCAGGTTCTCCTGGTTTCACTACAGGGCAACGCGAAGAACTCGAAGTACTGCGGCAGATGTGCTGACCTCTCCATGCAGCAAATGGGCAACTGTGTAGTAAGCCATGTAGATGGTAGAGTCCGACCTCAGAGCTGTGCGAATGTTCACATGCAATGAAACACAATCTTGGAAAGGCAGGAGTGCATAAACTCTGACATCTTGATAATTTGGTGTGTGTGTGTGTGCGTGTGCGTGCATCCAGGGGCATGACAGGGACTCAATGACGAACTGCTCATCCCAGGGAACCTGCAAGAAACCATGCTCAAATCCAAGCCAGCTACAAAGCTCGCCGGCCTGTGTGCCCAAGCCAAAGGAACCTTGATAATGCGATGCGAGGCACAAACCCGTCTTTGACAAAGGGAGGTGGGCAAACTGGCAAAGCATAGACCACAGAGACACCGGCGGCTGCATGCCCACTCCTTCAACCAGCCAATGGCATCTTCGAATGACTCCTGCAACGGGCATTAAATTTCACGACTTAGCCCAAAACCGGTTGGCCCTTGGCAGCAAAGTGTGATGTCCTTGATGCGGTCATTGTAGCCTGAGCCACTGCGGCAAGAAAACATGTGTGCAACGCCACTCTACCCCACTGGCAGCCTAAGAAGTGATATGCAAAAAAATGCAAACATATAAACTTGAGCATGAGTTCGTGGCCCGAATCTCACAACAGAAAGCGTTGGCTGTCCAACTTCGCAACAACACTAGTTCAAACATTGCTTGGTGGCATCTCTTGCAATGTGCTGCCATGTCACTCACGAAGTTGGAGCTACGAAGATGGCCCTGGAGAGAAGTCTATTGTGAATCTATTCTCCTCTTTTGCTATGTCTTTTTCTTTTCTATTTTTCTTAGAACCTTTAGACTGTTCTGTCATTCTTGGCATGTTCTTGCTTTTTCCGCCTTTGAACCATTTAGGAATCTGTTCCCACTTAAATCTTCACTTCGGCCCGTTTGACTTCAACACCAGGGTGGATGCGGCATCCTTGCACTTGGAAATCAGGGTTGACATGGTTTAGTCATGCTGCTTTTGGCCCAGCACCTAGTCACCAAAAGCACGCATCTTGTCCTGGTTGCGTGTGCATGCTTGTTTGTGGCCAGGTTAAACAGGAACAGGTAGAGCTTAGAACAGAAACTTTTGGGGTCAGCAAGCGGCAGTTCCCGCGGAAATCTGCTGGCCGAATCGCCAGCGTGTTTTGGGAAGGAGGGATTGTTCGGTAGTGTTTCCTTTCATTGGCTTTCACTTCCTTTCTTTGCCCATGTCATTGCAATTCCTTTCATGAGCTTTCATTCTGCTGTTCGCTATTGGGGCTCCTGGCATCGCTACTAGGAGCAAGGACGCTACTAGGGGCTCCTGGCCGTACTACTAGGAGCAACACGTTTTTTTTCATTCTGCTCCTGTTTCCTTTTCCATTTTCCTTTTCGTCGTTCCTTCCCTCTTCCCTTGCCTCACCCCAGCTTCCCCATGACACAAACAAGGCACTTCCCACCTTGATTGCGTGAGGCCGGAACCCTAACCCATAAAGCCTCCAACCTAACAGCAATGGCCTCCAACCTAAAGCGATGGTCTCCAACCTAATAAGCTCAAAATAGATTAGTCACATATGCAGGAGGTGTGACAAGCCAAGGGTCATGGGACCATGGGTCATGTAAGTCAAGCAAACAAATCCACGGAGGATGAGGTTCCAATTCAGCTGCTAGATGTTTACAGTAAATGGAAAACAACACCGGCCCACCGCTTCAAAGAAAAGCTCATGCTAGCGCTGCTGCAGATCGGCGATATGATTGCCCCTACCTCGCCTCAATCTGCCCGCGCCAAGTCTCCTCCCCATACTTCAAATACCACCTTGGCTTGGATCAACTTTGCGCCCATGCAGGAGGCGCCAAACTTGGAGCTGGACTGGTCAATTGCCGCAACCACACACTCATCGCCCGAGCGTGAGACAACCTTTTTTGTGACCCGAGCAGCTTACATAGGACATGTCTCACATCACACGCACACGTATATACATATATATATATATATATAACATCAACTGCGCCCTCCTTCTTCTCTGGCTCGTAGTAGGTGAAGGCCTGCTTTGCTTGAATCATGACCTTAGCTTAGCCAGCTTCTGTGGCTTTCGCATCCAAAATAAACTTCACAAAATTGTCGGTAGCAACCGGAATCGTACTGTCCACACGCTATTTTCACTGCGAAAGCGAGCACGGTATAGCTCAAGGGCCCTAGGAGC